ACTTCTTCTGTTGTTTGTTTGGAAGTTATTTTGCCTCTTCTCTCTGGAGTGGGATCCCAGGTTGGGGGCGGGGGCATATGTGCAATAATCTATTTGATGAATACCTGGGCAAATCTCTTAATTTTGAGCCTCAGTTGTCTCATCTTTAAGGAGGAATAGTAGTGTTTATGTCATATGATTGAGAAAAGTTCTGGCACATAGTAAACGTTCAATAAATATTAACTATTAGCTATCTGTGGGGAGAGAAATGAGTACATGGACAATTACAGTGTAGTCTAAGATGCTATGAGAGGGGTGAGCACAGGGTGTATCAGGAGCATAGAAAACAACCATCTAAGTCAGATGGCGTAGGGGGGGCAGGGAAGGCTCCCTGGAGGAGGCAAGGCGAGCCAAGTGTTGAAGTACAAGTTGGGGTTTGTTTCACAGTGAAAAAGTTCGGAAGCGTGTTTCAGGCAGAGGGGACAACAAGAAGATGCGCCATTAGAGCCATTTTTACCCTATATCAGAGCATCCTGCAAGTGTTCGTTTATATCAATTTTCCCTCTCCAATTTTGAGATGAAGTCTCTCATGCTCCATTCAGAAAAAAAATTTTTTTGGAGGGGTAACTATGTTTATTCATTTATTTATTTATTAAATGGAGGTACTGGGGATTGAACCCAGGACCTCATGCATGTTAAGCATGCGCTCTATCACTGAGCTCGCACACTCCTTTTCTGTTTTTAATTGAAGTGTAGTCAGTTTACAATGTTGTGTCAATCTCTAGCGTACAGCACCATGTTTCTGTCATACATATATTTGTTTCCATATTCTTTTTCATTATAAGTTATTACAAGATATTGATCTCGTGCTCCATTTTTTAAGCTGTCTTGAAATTGCCTGTCTCCCATGAGAATAAATGCTCTTTGAGAGTAGGCTCTGTTTGGTTTACTGGTGCGTCTCTAGTAGTACTTGGTACATTTTAGACATTTAAATACATGTTGAATGAATGAATGAATGAAATGAATGAACATATAAGTAGACTTCTCTCCCATCAGTTTCTCAAAGGCTCAGACTTCGCCTCTTCTCTCACCGTGTTATACTGCTTCGTTACAGCCCCTACCCAATCCTGTCCCGCGTCTTCCAAGCTCCATTACCCCCGAAGCTGTGGTCGTCAAACATGCAAGGACTGATTCACAGGTCACGTTTACACTGAGGACACTGGTAGAGGGGAACGCTTGGTTCAGCTGGGCAGTGACTACGGGAAGATAAACTGGAACCACAAACAAAGAGCTGAAGCAAGGGTAATTGGTAGGGGCTGGGGGTGAGGGGATAGCTCAGTGGTAGAGCACATGCTTAGCACGCACAAGGTCCTGGGTTCAATCCCCAGTACCTCTTTAAAAAAATGGGTAATTTGTGGAGTCCCTGAGTTAGGGTGGCATCTAGTTCCACTGTGGGACAGACTTGCTCTGGAGGGGCAGAGCTTGGTACCGCCTGCTCAGGACTCCCGCTGCCTGGGCAGAGTTGTAGCAGCACTGACAAAGCCCAGCTCCTCCTTCATCAGGGCTCTGATTTTATTTATTTATTTTTAACAAACAACCCATTATTTTTAAAGGTTATACTCCATTTATAGTATTATAAAATATTGGCTATATTCTCTATGTTGTTGTATACATCCTTATTGCTCATTTTATTAATAATTTGTACCCCTTAATCCCTATATGGCCCTTCCCCTATTTCCTCTCCCTGGAGGTAACCACTAGTTTGTACTCTACATCTGAGTCTGCTTCCCTTTTGTTATATTTACTAGTTTGTCATATTTTTAAAATTTCACATCTAAGTGACATCATAAAGTATTTGTCTTTCTCTGTATTGTTTCACTTGACATACCGTCCAAGTCCATCCATGTTGCTGCAAATGGCAAAATTTCATTCTTTTTTTATGGCTGAGTAGTATTCCATTGTACATATATACCATATCTTCTTTATCTAGTCATCTATCGATGGACACTTAGGTTGCTTCCATATCTCGGCAACTGTAAATAATGCTGCTGTGAACATTGGAGTGTATGTATCTCTTCAAATTAGTGGAGTTTTTTTGAATATATACCCAGGAGTGGAATTGCTGGGTCATATGATAATTTTATTTTTAGTCTTTTGAAAAACCTCCATACTGTTTTTCATAGTGGCTACACCAATTTACATCCCCACCAACAGTGTACAAGTGTTCCTTTTTCTCCATATCCTCGCCAACATTTGTTGTTTGTGTCCTTTTTGATGATGGCCATTCTGACAGATGTGAGGTGATAGCTCATGGTGGTTTTGATTTGCATTTCTCTGATGATTAGCAGTTTGAGCATCTTTTCATGTGTCTGTTGGCCATCTGTATGTCTTCTTTGGAAAAATGTCAGTTCTTCTGCCCATTTTTAATTGGGTTGTTTGGGGTTTTTTTTGTTGTTGAGTTGTTTGAGCTGTTTATATATGTTGGATATTAACCCTTATGGGTTATATCATTTGCAAACATTCTCTCCCATTCACTACGTTGTGTTTGGCAGAGTGCCTGGCATCTCTGGCTTCTAATCTCAGTTTCCAAGAACTCTGGCCACTCCCTTCCTGGGCTGTCTCTGCTCCTGTCAGACACCCCTGCTCCTCCTCTCTTTCCTTCCTCGCCCTCAGCAGCATCCCAGCCTTTAGGCTGGCCTGTTCAATCCCTAAAAATAGTGCCTCATATTTGTACAGCCCTGTACAATTAGGAAAGCTTTCTACACATATTCGCTTGTTTAATATTCCCTTTGGTTGTGGAAGGAAGAGCAGATGTTCTGTAACATAAAGGGTTTCATGGGCTGGTGGCAGCCCTGGGAGGGCAGCACCGCTCTGGGAAGTCCCTGAGCAAGTGACCTTGGCAGGTAGGGTGGATAGGTGTGTGAATGTTCAGGGTGAATGGTTTCTGGTGATGATGACGTCCAGGGTGTGACCACAGGAGCTGGTGTCTGAGGAGGAGAGGACGAAAAAGCCTTTGGACGTCTGAGGCCAGGGCATTGAGCAGTCAGGGTGTTGGAGGGGCTGATCTATGCAGAGAGTGAAGTCACTGAGAATGGTGATGGGAACTGGGTGGAAAAGAAGACAGGGAGCCAGCGGCTGAGTCTCAGTAGGTGACTCAGGATTGCTGGTCATCAACCCTGAGGATGTCATCCCCTGAGGAGAGGATAAAGGTGGCTCAGCCAGGTGGTATGAGTCTTAGAGGAGCCAGAGTTTTCCAAGAAACAGGGGAGTCATGGTCTGAAAGCTGAAATGGTGTGGGAGGGAGGCCACAGACACCAAGTCTATACTGAGGCCTGAGGGCTGGGGGAAAATAAAAAGCCTCCCCTAGAGAGAGTAGTAGGGAACAGTGAGGTTCAGTTGAGGTGGGAGCAGGTGGGAGCTGCTGAGAAGAGTCTGGGATATGGGGGACATCCTGTGATTACTGGGAATTCCAGGGAGCTTCATTCTAGGAGGGGTGAGGGGAAGGGGCAGGGGTTAGGCTGGGCCAGGTGAGGGAAGAAACTCTGGGAGGAGTTCTGACTTCTTAGCGGTGACTCAGGGAAGTGGGAGCATGAGCGCAGTTAATCCTTTTGGTCTCTGCTGGCAGAGGTGGGATCGGTGCTTTCAGTCCCGGATACTTGTTGAAGGTGAGCTGGGAAATCTGATCCTGTGTTGAATTATAAAGTCTAAAATCACACAATGATCAGAATAAATCACTCCATATTTGGATGACACTTGAGAATATACAACGCCTTTTGACTGTACTTTAGCATGCATTTTCCTTATTTCCTTCTTATTGCAACCCAGTGAGGTGGGCATTATCAATGATGAACTCAGAGTGACTTGCTGAAGGTCACATTCCTGGGAAGTGTCATAGCTGGGTTCACACCCCCCTCCATGCTGCATTCTAAGTGCATCGATGAGTGTGGTGCTTTCAGAGTTGCTTACAAGAAAAAAAGACCTTCCCAAAGTCCATTCTTTTTGCATCTGACCATTGACCATTCTATTTTCCTTAGCTTCTCCTGTGCCATCTTTTCAATATTCAGAGAACTAATGGTTTCTCCCAGAGTAGGTCTTCACACCTCACTTCTCTTTACATGGCTTTATAGCTTGTTAAAATGGATGCAGTAATGGGTTGCAGGCTCTGTTTTGACAAACTCAGAGAAATAAAGGACAGCAAGTCATAGCTAAAGACAAATCCTCTTAACTGGGACTGGCTGTCAGCTGCTGGGGGCAGAGGCAGAACTGGGAATTCAGGGAAGGGACAAAACACCACCCCTTACATTTGTCCTTTAAACTCCTGGCTGAGAGCTGGACTCCAGATAAAACTAGGTAATCTCGTCCAGGAGTGGCTTCAAAGCAACTCCCCCCCCCTTTTTTTTTAATGAGGTGGAGGTAATTGGGTTTATTTATTTTTTATATCTGGAACCTCGTGCATGCTAAGCATATGCTCTACCACTTGAGCTATACCCTCCCCACCAAAGCCCCTTTCTAAATCTATTCTACTGATGTGATTCCAAGCTTTCTTGCTTCCGAAAACTTCTGAGGCTGCGGCTAGAAAAGCGACGTGTTTTCTCGCTGGGCTTAAAGGGTCGAATTCTAGTGGCCTCTCCAGTTAGAAAACCTGTTTCACAATCAAATAATGCTGGCGTGATTAAGCCCCTCCCCCAGCATGACATCACCAGGCCCAACCCCAGAGTGCTTGTCTCCGTTCATCGCCAGAAAGACCCATTTCAGTGTGGGGCCTATCCAGAATTGCTTTAGCACATGCATTAAAATGCACAGGTAAAAAGGCAATTTTGAAAACTCCTTCAACGCGATCACGCCTATTCTTTATTTCATAATGTTTGTAGGGTCGTGTGGAAGGCAATGTGAGGTCCACTTAGGAAATTTTAAAACGTCACCCCCCAGGGGGAAAACAGTTGCGTCCAGTTCCCGCCCCCCATGCGTCACACGTGTCAGCTAAGAAGGCGTGGCTGCACGTCAGCTTCTGGGCGGGTTGGACTGTTCTAAATGAGTTCTCGTAGGGGAGCTGCTTTAGGGGAGAAGGAGGCCCTGGGAGTTAACCTTCTTTCTCTCCATATTCTATTTGTGTAGGCATTCGTTTAAATGCGCGGAAGCATGTGTAGGGGCTGACTGTCCTCTCCGCGGCCATGGAAAAGGCGGAGACAGAACCCCTCCTTATTGCCGCTCCACCGAGTGGCCGCGTCCATTCGGCGCCCGGTCGCCCGATTTAAGAGGTGGGGAAAAGTGTCCGCTTTAGGGATCGCAAAGCGTGGCGGCCCCATGGCTCCGCTCGGAGACGTCCCGCGGCTGGTGCTGATGTTCAGCGGGAAGAGGAAATCCGGGAAGGACTTCGTGACCGAGGTCCTGCAGAGCAGGTGTCCGTGGGGTGGGGAAAGCGAAGGACCGGGGAGATCCCCGAATCACGTGACACAGGGGGTGTGTTTTGGGTGTGATGGAGTGAGCTTTAGAGTAGGGGTCCTCGATTGCAGGACAGGAGGAGCACTGGGCCACGAGAGGTGGAAGATTGCCACCCTCACGTGAAGCAGCAGTCTGCACGCCCACCTCAAAGAACCAGGCGGCCACCTCTCCAAAGACTGTCAGCTGTAGGTCTCTCCAAGAAGCATTAATAATAGTTACTACCAAGGCACTTTTGCTGCACCACCTCCAATACTCAAGACAGTATTGCGAGGTAACTGTTACAGATGAGGAAACCAAGTCACAGATAAAGGATTTGCCTCAGACCGCACCCCAATCGCGCATGGCTCCAAAGACAAATCCTTGCCCAGCACACCACCTAATAGCTGGGGTTTATCAAGCCTTATTTTGTGCCAGCTGCTGTGTGTATACACCTCATTTAATTCTCAAAAGCTCTTTGTTAGGTGCTGTGTGGTATTATTAGTCAGTATCTACATTTCACAGATGAAGAAACTGAGGCTCTGAAAAGTTAAGAAAACCAACCAACCAACCAAACCCAAGCTTGCCAGGAACACAAAGTAATTGGCAGATCCAGAACTCAAATTCAGCTTTAGTCTAGCTCCAAGGAATGGGTTCTTTCTGCCTTACCTCACTGCCTCTCCAAGTAGTCCCTTTTGCTTAGTGTGTTCTCTCAAAGCAAGATGTTCTGTGTGGGAGCATTTTTTGCTGGGGTATGGGCTAGAGAGCAGAGAAACCAGGGGGAAAGTGGAGTGGGCTCCTCTCTTGAAGGCCAGTGTGTTGGGGGTACCAGGAGGCAGCTTTTGGGCATCATGGGAGTTTTAAGAGGTTGTGGGAAACCCCAGGGCAGAGTTTATCACCTGAATCTTTCACCACTAATTATCCACCGCCTTTTCCTGAGTTACATTTCTCCTTGCCTCCAAACACATAAATTAATAGTGGTCAGAAGCAGTGGCTCTGGAATCGAACTGCTGGGATTCAAATCCCGACTCAGCACTTACTTGGTTGTGATCTTGTACAAGTTTCTTATACACCCTGTCCTCAGTTTTATCATCTGTGAAATGGAGAGAATAATAGGATGATTGTAAGGATTAAATGAGATAATGACATGAAGGACTTGGAACAATTGGCACCTAGTAAAGGCATAGGAACTAACTGTTGGCTTTTATTTTTAACATTACTGGCTTTGGTGCTTTGGGTGAGTCAAGTTTCCTCACTCAGCCTCAGTTTCCTCATCTGAAACATGGACATAAGAACATCTATCTCAACATGTCAGTGTTTAAGTGAATCTGTGAGCATCTCATGGTCAGGGCAGGAGTCATGTATCTTATTCATGTTTGTATCACCTGGGTCCAGGTATAGTACCCAACAAACGGTCAGTTGAGTAAATTGAACAACTGAATGAATGAATGAGTGCGGTCACCAAGTCAGCTGAGACCAAGTACCCCTGGCTGTGAGAGAACTAGTTCAGGGGCCCAGCAGTAACCAGATTACCAGCCAGAATATTGCCGGGATGTTCGCATTGTAATTATACTTTTATTTGTTTTACCTGTTAGCTTCAGGGCTCTTTCACATTCGAGTTGCATAATAATCCCATGGGAAACAGAACAGAAATGGTTATCTCCATTTTATAGATGAGGAGATCAGGGATGTTGAGACTTGACAAAGTTATACAGATACCAGCAGCAGAAATGGGGCTTCACTCCTCCTGATTTCTTTCTCCTCGGGGGCCTGGAAGCTCTGCGTTAATGGGGTTCGGATCTCCCTGTGTCACAGACTCGGAGCGGACGTCTGTGCTGTCCTCCGGCTCTCCGGTCCGCTCAAGGAGCGGTATGCTCAGGTAGGTGGTGGCTCTGGGACAGCTAGTAGGTTGGAAGGAGCCAGCTCCGGGCTTTGGTTGCTGTGCTGTTGTTTGAGTCACTAGTGGGGTTCCTATGACCACTGCTGGCAGGGTGGCTGGCAGCCCTTTGCCTTCTTTTTTTTTGCTGGAGGAGGTACTTAGGTTTACTTGTTTATTTTATTTTAACAGAGGTACTGGGGATTGAACCCATGACCTCATGCATGCTAAGCATGTATTCTACCACTGGGCTATGCCCTCCCCCTCAACTCTCTGCTTTCTATAGGTGGACCTTTTGGGAGCATTTTCAGCTTAAAGTTTCCTTCCCATTGGCCTTACTCACTTCAGGCCACCTCCCTAGAGTATGTTCAGGAAAGTATGTCCAGAAAAGGCTGTAGATGTGATTTGGCAGCTCTGATGCTGTGTTATTAGTAAGGGTCTGTCCCCTTGGTCAAAAAATGTGACCCACCTTGACCCCCCTCCCCCCACTGAAGCTGACTGGCCACAACCCTTAAAATTTTCCCCTTAGCTATTTAATCACAAGACTTGTCAAGACAAATTGTGTAGTGAAAAAAGCAAGATGTAGAACAGTGTATAGAGAATGCTACATTTGTATAAAAGTGGGGAAAATTGTAAATATATTTGCTCATATATTCAGCCATTCAACAAATACTTATGGGGTGCTCGCATTATGCAGTGCATTCAGCACTGTCCCAGGTACCTGGGATGTATGAAAGCCTAGGCAGGACACTTAAGACATTGTACCGTTGGTTGCCTCCAGGGAGGGGAGCTAAGTGGCTGGGGAACAGAAGAGGGAGAGAGATTTTTCAGTGCCAGTGATGTATCTTTTGAATTTTGAACCATGTAGATTAAAAAAATAGGATTGTAAAGAATAAAACAGGAACTCTTAGAACCTTAGACTTCGGGAGCCTGGAGGGTGAGATCAGCTTCCCACCCAATGAAGGCCCCCTAGTCACTTACATTTCTGTCCTTGACCTCTAGGTGCAGCCTTCCAGGGACCTGTGCTCATGGCCCTTTGGTCAGTTGGCCTGAGTCTGGCCTTCTGGGGCCACACAGAATGATTTGTCCCCTCCTTCCATGTGACAGCCCCGTCTCTGTGGGAAGCACTCTCCTGTACCATTGGGTCTTCTTCCACCAGCTAAACAGACCCATTCGCTGGATGGCCACCTGGGGGCTCCTGGTGGATAACGGATTCAGTGGTCTTCAAATTTTTTTAGTAGGAACCTTTCCCAACTGAAATTGGATGGAGAAATTTCTTGAATCCAGTAGATAGACTGGGAGCAACTTTGAATTGAGGGGAGGCACTTAACCTCCCCCAGCGGGGCCTGAGCACTTCTGAAGAGCCCCAGGGCTTTGAGGAGCAGATAGAAAACCCCTGATCTACTTCCAAAGTTCCCAAATTAGGCCCCACTTCAGATCTGTGAGCCAGGCTGCGGGGTGCAGTGGGGTAGGTGGGCAGGAGTTGCATTCTTAAAACCTCAGTAGAAGACTGATAGGCCAGCCTGCCCTTGCAGTTTTGAAGTCCAGCATCTTACTCCTGTTAAAAAACAAATCCAAAATGAAATGCTCATGTGTTGATTTCTTAAGTTGCAATGGGGAATATACTTGACAAGAAGACCATAATGCTCCTGGTGGCCATTCTTCCCCTGTGGTAAAGAGTACATGGGAAATGAGTTTATAAACGGGAGGTGGCTGCCGGCCTCACCTTGGAACAGGGTGAAAGTAGGTGATTCAACTGGCTGGGCCCCCTCAGTGTGCACTTGAAGGAGCTGAGTCTTTGGGGAGAAGGTCTTGCTGCAGTGAATTCCAGGGGAGCTGAAACATGAACTGACTGACGATCTTCAGACCCCTTCCCATCCTGGAGTCCTCTCGATGGACCCCTCCTGCTTGTCAGTGTCCCTGGACAAGGGAAGGCTGGGTCTGGAGGCAGCTCCCCAGGGTGGTCAGAGCAGCCCCTCCTGCTCCAGCGGGCCTCTGACTTGGAGGCTCCAGGCGCGCCCATGGCCAACTGGAATGATGTTGGTTCAGCAAACGTGCCAGGAATTTGGGTAGGAGGAAGGGGCTGAGGTAAAGGGGAGAGGGACAGGGAAGCCAGGCTCCTGGGCTTCAGGCTGGGAGTAAACAGTGCCAGAAGGGGCAGTGGGGACACAGAATGGTGTGTTTTCAGATTTCCCACTTTGGTTGAAGGCTAAGCCTGTGCCCAGGGGAGGCAAACTAATTTCAGGATTACTTTAAGCCAGAAATAATTGGGAGGGTAAAACTGTTGCACAAGAGAAACCCACACCACACATTTAAAGACAAACTGAAACAATTTCTGGTTTATCCCGAGACCTTTCTTCCATTTGCCAGGGTTTGGGATTTCTTAGTTTCTAGGACCCTTTCCCTCTCAGGCCTCGTCCTGGCGGCAACCTCCTGAGTCCTGCATCAGCCCTCTGGAGGGAGGGTGAGGGGAGGGCTGGCCCTCCCTCTAGTTTAGGGGAGACCTGCGAGGCAAAGAGGCTGGTGGTGGAGACCGAATGTGCTTTGGGCAGGAGCACGGCTTGGATTTCCAGAGACTCCTGGATGCTAGCACCTACAAGGAGGCCCATCGGAGGGACATGATCCGCTGGGGGGAGGAGAAGCGCCAGGCGGACCCCGGCTTCTTCTGCAGGAGGATCGTGGAGGGCGTCTCCCAGCCCATCTGGGTAAGTGGGCTCTGTGGCAGCTTTAAGAAAATCTGTTTCTCCTCCTCTGCCCCTCCCCAAGTATAGCCCAGATGTGTCCATTTCTCTCTCTCCACTGGTCCAAGCCCCTGTCGTCTCTCACCTGGACCGTCCTAGTGGCCCCTACACTGGTCCCGCTTCGGCTCACGTCCCTTATGATCCAGTCACCCGAACGCAGCCAGAATAACCTTTTAAAAACTAACCGAGTCACGTTTAGAAACCTTTGTCCCACTGACCTGATGAACAGAATCAAAATCCTTCATGTGAATGTCTGGACCTTGAATGATCCGACTCCCGCTGCCCTTAAAGCCACCTTGCTCCTTACACTGCTGTCATATTGGCCTTCTCTCTGTCCCTCAGATAAATCAGGCTCCTTCCAGAATCAGGGCTGGCTCTGCCCTTGTTCTTCCATCTGCCTGGACTGCCCTCTCTTTCCCTTCTTGCCTGGTTCCCGCTCAGCTTACATGGCCCCTCCACAGGGAAGCCTTCCATGATACACAGGTCTTCACTGCTGCTCCCTGTTCGGTGCTCCTATAGTACCCTAGCTTTTCCTTCTGGAAGCCAGTAGTATCTTGTACCAGGACTGGTTCCAGGTGACTTGGGAATACATCATGGGAAAATCTGATGAGGTCTCTGCCCTCAGGGTACTTACACTATAGCTGGTGGGTAGAGGGAGTTAGGCCCTAAATAAATACAGAATATGTCAGGTGGAGATAGTCAGAGGCAAAATAAAGCAGGCCAAGGAAATGAGGAGGGCGGGGTTGCCGCTTGACTAAGGGTGTCAGGGAAGGCCTCACTGATGTGATGACATTGGAGCAGGCCCTGAAGGAAGTCAGGGAGTGACCCAAGTGGATTTTTGTGGGTGAGGGGTGTGTGGCAGGAAGTGAAGTCAAATCATGCAGGGTCTCTGGAAGAGACTGGAGTTTTCTCTGAGTGAGATGGGAACTCACTGGAGGGTTTTGAGCAGAGTAGAGGCCTGATCTGGTTTAGGGATCGGAGTGGTGGTGGAGTGGAGAGAGGGGTTGATTCTGCACAGGTTTTGAAGATGGAACCACTAGGATTTCCTGGTGCGATGGCTCAGAGGCGGAAGGACAGGAGACAAATCCAAGGATTTCTTTCTGAGCAGCAGACGAACAGAGCTGTCATTTTCTGAGATCGGCCAAGTGTGGAGGAACAGGTTCAGGGAGAAAATCCGGAGTTCAGTTCCGGCAGCATTAAGGCTGAGATGCTTGCTGATGTGCACTGTGGTTCCGTGGCTATTAGTGAAGCTGCTGGTTGAGCATCAGTCTCCCACTAGACTGGAGCTCCCTGAGGGCAGGCACCAGGTCTGCTTTGCTTACGTCTCCATCCCCAGTGCCCAGCCCAGTGCCTGGCACACAGTACTTGTTCAGTAACTGGGTGAATGACCATGTCAGCAGCATGGACAAGAACACCTGGCCTCTTCATGCGCTAATTCATTCATTCGTTGAACACTGAGTGCTCCTGATGTGTCAGACAGTGCTAAGGGCCAGGGATAGAGCAGTGAATGAGACTCAGTCCTTTCCCTCATGGAACTGACACTGCAGCATGCAGACAGACAATAAACACAGAAGCAAACTGATAGAGAGTGATGGTTTCATGAACACTCAGTGCTCAGAGGAAAATAAACAGCATATCAAAATCGAGAGGGACATGAAGGGAGCCAGGATGGGAGGGACAGCCTCTTTGAAGAGGTGACGTTGGAGCAGAAACCTCCATAAAGCGAGGGAGCTGACCTTGTGCTTATCCAGGCAGACTGAGCAGCACATGCAAAGGCCCTGAGGAGGACACCAGGTTGGCAGGTTTGAGAAGCAGCAGGACGTCAGTTGGCAGCAGCGGAATGAATGAAGGAAGATGATAGGAAATAGGTTGCAGATCTTGTAGGACTTTGTAAGCTGGAGTGAGAGCTTTGGATTTTATTAGAATGAATGGAAGCTTTTGAGAGATTTAGGGCAGGGGACTGGCAAGAATCACATTTGCATTTTATTTTTATTATTTTCATTTTTATTAAGTAAAATTGATACAATTTGCCTGCACATATACAAAATATTGCATATAAATACATATGTACAATATACTGCACATTCTTTTAAATTTACATATATGTACTGTCCATTCTTTCTAAGAACAATTTAGAGCCTTAGCTTTTTAAACTTACAGAATTATCAAAGGAATAAAGCCAACCACAAAAGAAGAATCAAAATAAGAATCAAAATCAAAATAAGAATGCAGTAATCCAATTGTAAAGGACAGTCAGATGTGCTTACACGTATTTAAGAAATCAATCATCTAAGTTATAATGAGTTCATTTGTGTCCTTTTTTTTAGATTCCACATATAAGCAATATCATGTGGCATTTTTCTTTCTCTTTCTGGCCTACTTCACTTAGAATGATGATCTCCAGGTCCATCCATGTTGCTGCAAATGGCATTATTTAATTCTTTTTTATGGCTGAGTAGTATTCCATTGTATATATGTACCACATCTTCTTTATCCAGTCATCTGTTGATGGGCATTGGGTTGTTTCCATGTCTTGGCTATTATAAATAGTGCTGCTGTGAACATTGGGGTGCATGTGTCTTTTTGAATTATGTATATGCCCAGGAGTGGGATTGCTGGACCACAAAGTATGTCTACTCATAGTTTAAGGAACCTCTATACTGTCCTCCAGAGTGGTTGCACCAATTTACATTCCCACCAACAGTGTACAAGGGTTCCCTTTTCTCCATACCCTCTCCAGCATTTATCGTTTGCAGACTTTTTAGTGATGGCCATTCTGGCTGGTGTGAGGTAATATCTCATTGTAGTTTTGATTTCCATTCTGTAACAATTAGTGATATTGATCATCCTTTCATGTGCTTGTTGGTCATCTCTCTGTCTTCTTTGGAGAGATGTCTATTTAAGTCTTCTGCCCATTTTTTGGTTGGGTTGCTTGTTTTTTTGATATTAAGGTGTATGAGCTGTTTATATATTTTGGAAATTAGTCCCTTGTCTGTTGCATCACTTGCAAATATTTTCTCCCGTTCTGTAGGTTGTCTTTTTGTTTTGTTGATGGTATCTTTAGCTGTGCAAAAGCTTTTAAGTTTAATTAGATCCCCTTTGTTTATTTTTGCTTTTATTTCCATTACTTCAAGAGCTGATTCAAAAAATATATTGCTGTGATTTATGTCCAAGAGTGTTCTGCCTATGTTTTCCTCTAGATGTTTTATAATATCTGCTCTTACATTTAAGTCTTTAATCCATTTTGAGTTTATTTTTGTATATGGTGTTAGAGAATGTTCTAATTTCAGTCTTTTACAGGTAGCTGTTCAGTTTTCCCAGCACCCACTTTTACATTTTAAAATGTGCTGGCAGGGCAGGGACTGACTAGGGTATTTTTATTTCTGGCCTCAGTTTGCTCATCTGTAAAATGAATGTGTTGGATCGGCTGATCTGACTTCAAAGCCTGAGGCATCTTCTTCAGCTTGGTGATGACCAACAGGACCGTAGAACACAGCATGGGCAGAGTGGGCTGTGGGCTGCAGCGATCAGGGAGGGCTCCCTGGAGGAAGAAAGGGATGTCTGTCTCAGCTGGTTGGGTAATAATAGGGAAGGGGGCTACACTTGTCTGCGTTCTGTAGTCCATGCTCCAGCTTTTTCAGAGTGAGGGCTGGGTCGCCCCCCCCCTTTTGCCCTCACCCCCAGAGCCCTGTCCTGTTGCTCCCCACACCATGTCCTGTTGGTCCCCTGTCTGTGTCCTTTCCCTGCAGCTGGTGAGTGACGCACGGAGAGTGTCTGACATCCAGTGGTTTCAGGAGGCCTATGGGGCTGTGACGCAGACGGTCCGTGTGGTGGCCACGGAGCAGAGCCGACAGCAGCGGGGCTGGGTGTTCACACCAGGTGAGCTGCTCATAACCTCTGCCTCCAGGCTCAGCACTCAGGCCGGCCACCTTGCCTTTAGACCAGCCCACTCACTCCCGTGCTTCTGTCTTCTGCCATCTCCGTGGCAGGCTGTGGGGAGTGAACAGGGGATTATAAGAAGGGGTCTGAGGCTTGGGGCTCCGGAGTACCTCCAGATTAGAAAGTGGAGTGGGATAGAGGAGGGTGTCCTTGGGGGTGAAGGTTCCCCCGTGACCTTGGCCTTGAACCCTTATCTGAGCTGTCTTCTCTAGGCCAGTGGGCTTCTGGAGCTCTGCCTGGGACCCACCCCCATGGTCCTTCACCTTTGCCTTCCAGCCTGGGGAGGGGCTGACTGTGGGTCAGAGGAAGGGGCCCGACAAACCTCGCTCCTGTTTGATGAACAGAGCGGGAGGGGTGGGGGCGGGGTGCAGGGGGACGAAGCTCTACTGGCAGCCTCAGTGGTGTCAGCCCAGGGCCTGCTCTGTGGCAGCTCTGAGGCCCAGCTCCGGAGTCTTTCCTGTCCTAGGTCCCTGGGACTCGGGGAAGTTCAGATCAGTGGGTCAGTCCCCTCCTGAAGGCTGCTCACCACGTGGGCCAGGCCAGTGCCAGGTGCTTTGTACATATGATCTCAGTTTAGAGTCACAGCAAACCCACCAGGTAGATGCTCTTATTACCATTCTCACTGTCAGGTGAGAACGGCACACGCTGCCTCCCGTGAGGACTGAACCAGAGATTTAGGGAGAGAAATCGACATGATCATCTTTACATAAAATGAAAGTCAAGTGGCCATTTGGGTTGTCTGGTTTGAGATGGTGATAACAAGTGAAGGGTTAAGTCAGCAGGACTCTCTGGGGGCTCGAGTGGCTGTGGGCTGTGGAACCTGTTATCCCGGTGATTCAGGGGGTGGGGAAGTGCCCTCTGGAGTGGCCGAGGGGAGTTCAGGAGAGGGTGGCTCCAGGTGGAGCCAGCAGGCCTCGATGCCGGTGCCCAGTGTTTGTCGGCAGGGAGGGGCCTGACCTTGCCGTACCTCCTCCGCAGGGGTGGACGATGCTGAGTCAGAATGTGGCCTGGACAACTTTGGGGCCTTTGACTGGGTCATCGAGAACCACGGAGATGAGCAGCGCCTGGAGGAGCAGTTGGAGCACCTAATAGAATTTGTCCGCTCCAGACTTTAGCTGTCAGGGTCTCAGAGTGAGCTGGGGGCTGCCGGGGTGAGGGTGGCTTGCTGATTCTGGCCGAGGTTGGGGAGCAGACAGAGGGCCTGGGTCTAGGCTTCTGGGGGCTGGCACATGTCAGACAAGTCAAGAAACTCCTGGGAACCTCATTTCTTCATGGAGAGGACAGCCCTGTGTCTTTAGAAGGAGACTTAAAGGGCAAAGGAGGGCGAGTTGGCTGTGCTTGAAGCAGAAACGTCACCATCTCCATGGGTGCCAGACCTATCGGCCTGTGGTGGCCTTGCTTCCCGGACTGGATGCTCTCAGCACTTTGTTCTGGGCAAGAACCCGCGGCTCCCCGGTGTGGATGCTAATAAACCTTCTTGGAGCACCTGCTCAGAGCTGGACATGTCTCATTTTTCAGACGCCACCCCAGCCTGCGTGGGGCTCAGTAAGGCCTGGGTTGTTCTGGTGGCTGGGGGTTTCTGCTCTGCCCCCTACCTGGGCTGGAACGTATTCTGCAGAGGCTGACCTTGGTCTGGGCCATGTCGGTAATGGGCCTGTGTGTGTCTGAGGCAGGACTGGAGTCTGAGGTTCTTGTCTTCTGGGATGGCCCAGGAGAGGCTGAGTGTTCCAAAGAAAGTGCCACCAGCAGTGCCCAGGGGGACTGAGGTGTCACAGAGGGGCAGAGACACCAGAGCTCAGTGGCGCCTGGTGACCGTTGCATGGCCCAGGACAAGTGCCATCACTACGAGCCTCGGCTTTCCCATTCCAGGCCTCGGACTTGACTCCTTTTATTTATATAGCCATATACAATTTCTAAATTTCTTCTAGATTCTTCACAGCCACTCTGTGAAATAGGCAAGGAGGGCATTTTCATCTGCACTTAGCAGATGCCAAGGACTCAGAGAAGTGAAGCAACTGGGCCAGGGTTAGTAAGTGACAGTGCTCCGACGAGAACACAGGCGCCTGCCTCCTGACCCGGTCCCTTGGCCACGTGCCTCTGGGGTGTGGTGCAAAGTCCTGGGGCCCCTTGCGGTCCTCAGGCCCAGCCTGAGCCCTCCAGCCCTCTGGCCTGGGCTTTGTTCTCCTCCCACGGATTCTGTGGGTTCTCACTGATAAGAGGACAACCGAAGAAATTCCGTCGGCTTGCCCGTGCCCCAGACTGAGCTTGATGCAGTCCTGCCCACGTCTCCTCCTCCCTAGGTCCCGTCTTCCCGATACTGGTTCCCTGGCTCTTCAGTTAACCAGGCCTGAAAGCTTGGCAGTCATGGTGGACTCCTCCGTGTCCCTTGACCAACGGCTGATCGATCCCCAGGTTCTGTTAACCTGCCCTCCCCAAGTCTTCCCTCTGGGATTCTCATGGGAAGGGTAAACTCCCTGATGATTGAGGCCATGTCTGTCTCGTAGTTGGAGCCCTGTCTCCTAGAGCTGTCGGCCCACCGTGGGCACTCAGAAAATGGCTGTGACTGGGTGCATGGTGAGACGGGACTGTGTGAGTCATGCTGGAATCACGACCATTTCGTGCAGTACGTGTTTCCTCATCTCCAGCTGGGAGGCTCTGCCAGCCCCCGGGGCCTGTGTGTCTGTCTGCTCCCCTGCTGGAGCTGAGCCAGCCTGGCTTGGATGCCACCGGGGTCCTTACCAGCACAGAGACTGTAGCTCCTGGGGGTCCTCTCAGAATTGCTGGCAGAGGCTTTTGTGAGGTCACCGCCCCCACCCCACTCTGTCTTCCCCAAGGCAGTGTCCTTCAGCATGAGGGGATCTGGGTTGAAAGCAGCCAATCCTTGCCTTTCACGGCAAAGAGATTCAAAGCTCAGGACGGATATGAACCTAGACGGTGCAGTCTTGGACTGAGAGATCACTGTTTTTCTTCCTTCCTAGCTTTATTGAGATATAATTGACATACAACATTGTATAAGTTCAAGGTGTACCAGACGATGATTTGATACATGTATGTATTGTGAAATGATTGCTGCAAAGTAAGGTTGGTTAAGACCTCCCGTCGCCTCACATAACTGCCATTTTTTTCTGCTGGTGGTGAGAACATTTAAGATCTACTCTCTTAGCAACTTCCAAGAATATAATACAGTGTTGTTAGGTACGCTGACTATGTGGTACATTGGATCTCCAGAACTCACTCATCTCGTAACTGGAAGTTTATAACCTCTAACCAACATCTCTGCATTTCCCCCAACTTCCAGTCCCCGGCAACCACCATTTTACTCTGTTTCTATGAGTTCGGCTTTTTAATTAATTAATTAATTAATTAATTATTTTTGTTGTTAATGGAGGTTCTGGGAATTGAACCCAGGACCTTGCACATGCTAAGCATGCACTCTACCACTGAGCTGTACTCCCCAAGTTCAGCTGTTTTTGGATCCCACATATAAGTGAGATCAGACAGTATTTGTCTTTCTCTGCCTGACATACTTCACTTAGCATAATACCTCACGGTCCATCCATGTTGTTGCCAAAGGCAGGATTTCCTTTTTTTTTGACTGAATAATATCTCATTGTATGTATATGTACCACATTTTCTTGATCCGTTCATCCACTGATGCACAATTTGCTTGTTTCCGTGTCTTGGCTATTGTGAATAATGCTGCAGTGAACATGGGCTGCAGATATGTCTTTGAGGTAGTGATTTCCTTTCCTTCAGATCTATACCCAGCAGTGCGTTTGCTGTTTGATCACTGATTGATACTGTTCAGTGTAAACGTCAAGCAGGCAGGGATGAAGCAGAGTAGGGGAGGTGGGGCTGGTGGGTCTCCTGTGTCTCTGGTAGGGGTGCTGACCTGGTTCCTGGCTCTGAGTATTTGGAAGAGTCACACAGGATGTGACTTGGGAAGCCAGGGGGTCCACTCCTTCGCCCTTTGACAGGTTGGCACTGATGCCTCTTAACATGGCTAACCAGAGTCACTTCTGCTGGAGTTCCTACACACTTTTTTTTTTCAATCGGATATTTCTGTAAATACCCAAATCAGTAATAACCCTGACTCATGATACCCTATGTTATGAAGAGAGTTTTAGCTGCTTTTATTTCAAGACATTCTCCCCCACCTTGCTAACTTTGTCTGCGGTTATGATATCAGAGTATTGCTCCTAAGTTATTTTTTAAATGTTATGTATATATTCTTTTAATAATGATTTGTAGCACTAACATTCTCCAAAAATTTTTACTTTTCCACTTCTAAACTGCTGGATTGAGGCATAATTGGCATGTAGTAACTGCACATATTTAAAGCACACAGTGTGATAAGTTTTGACATTTGTGTATACCCAGGAAACCATCAGCACAGCCACAGTGGACATATCCATCACCCTCAAAATCTTCCCCGGGTCCTCTCCTCTCGCCTCTCCCTAACCCCCACCCTCGTCCCCAGGCAACCACTGGTTTGCTTTCTGTCTCTATAGATTAATTTGCACTTTCGATAATTTTGTGTAATGAATCATATAGTATACATTCTTTTTTTTTTGCCTGATTTCTTTCACTCAGCATAATTATTTTGAGATCCATCTACATTATTGCAGGTTCATATCAACAGTTCATTTCTTTTTATTGCTGGTGTGTGGTGTGAATACATCGCCAGAGTTTATCTGTTCACTTGTTGATGAACATTTGGGTTGTTTCCAGTGCTTGGATATGACAAATAAAGCAACTGTGAACATTTGTGTACAAGTTTTTATGTGGGTATGCATTTTCATTCCTCTTAGGTAGATACCTTCTTAACTTTTTAAGAAACTGTCAAACTGTTTTCCAAAGGGGTTGTACCACATGCCCACCAGTACTGACTGAGAATGCCAGTGGCTTCACGTCCTCACCAATACTTGGTATGGATCAGTCTTTTTAATTTTACTGATTCTAGTAGGTATATAGTGATATCTCATTAGCATTTTATTTGCATTTCTCTAATGATTAATTTGACACATATCCCACATTCAGTGTTGATAAAATAATCTCTCAGCAAACTTGGAATAGAATAGAATATCCTCTACCTGAGAAATAACATCTACAGAAACCCCACAGCTAACAGCACACTTCGTGGTAAAATACTAAATGCTTTCACCCTAAGACTGGGAATGAGGCAAGAATGTCCACTCTCATGAGCTATTCAACAGCATATTGGAGATTCTAGCCAGTGCAGTAAGATAAGAAAAAGAAATAAAAGGCATTCAGATTGGGAAGAAAAAAGTAAAACTGTCTTTATTCATGTGTGATCTGATCATTTATGTAGAAAATTTGATGGCAACGCCAAAAAAGCTGCTAGACTGGATAGGTGAGTTCAACAAGATTTCAGGATATGAGATCCATACGGAAAAGTCAATTATATTTCTATTTATTAACCACAAATAGGCAAAAATGGAAATACATTATGCCAGTTAATAATAGCATAAAAATATGTGGTAGTTAGAGATGAATCTGTTGAGACGTGTAAGACTTGCACACTAAAAACTGTAAAACATTGCTGAGAGAAAGGAAGACCTTAAAGACAGAGATTGCACCATATGCATAGACTAGAAGCCTCAATATTAAGATACTCATTTTTACTGAGACATAATTACATACAGCGAAGCGTACTGATCCTAAGTGCACAATTCAACAAGTTTTGACAAACACACACCTGTGTAACACAAACCCTTATAAGACAGAGACATCCCCACCACTCTAGAAGGTTTCTTTTTAACCCTTCCCAGTCAACCCCTGTCCTTCTAGGAACAACTACTTTCACCGTAGATTAACTTTGCTTGTTCTGGAATTTCATATAAAAGCTCACCATCCAATTTTAAAACACATTTTAAACAGTAATTTATTTTTTAGACTTAACTGGTTGACTGCTTACTCTTAATTCATTCCTGATTCCTCAACTTCCCCATTTTTGAGTTTTGTATTTTAATTCCTCTCCAGACAGTTGATGTGCCTTCAGATACTTTTTTCAAAAAGGGCAGGTGGTGATATAATTTTCTGAACCCCTGTGGATGAGAGAATGACATTCTGTCGCCTCTGCACGGGGACAGTGATTTGGCTGGCTTAGGATTCGTGACCTGGTTCCACTGTCTGCTAGTGTTTAGTGTTGTGGAGTCTGAGGTCACCTTGAATTTTGTTCCTTTGAAGGTAACCTCCTTTTTCTGTCTGGATGCTTTTGGATTTTTTTTTCTGCTTTCATTTTTGAAATTCAAATTCTGGCATTCTCCAAGGCAGAAAATGGAAATGTCTTAAGAGGAAAAAGTTGGTGCTCATTGTTCCCGGTAAAGCGTTATGGAGTAATGAGATGGAAATTTAAATGGTCGTGTACATCCAAGTGCCTGCTGCAACCCAAAGTAGTCCCCTTGACAGAGATGTTGCCTCTAGCAAATGTCTTTGGGAGCTCCTCTTTGCTTTGGGGGTGCTGGTCTCAGG